TAAATTCACTTCTCTACTCTATTGATCTTTGTTTTTATTTCACATGTCTTCAGTAGCTTATTTCCAAAACACATTTCAAAGTAAGATATGTGACTTGATTTGATATATATTTAGTCTATCTTTCTTGAAACAACATTATGGCAAAGCAGAGATTCAAATAGGAAGATAATGATGTCATTATTACTAGCTGAGAGAATCTGAAGAGTTTCATAATTACACTGAAAGAGGTTTATCCTTTGCAAAAGACCCCCTCCTTCCATAAAAAAGTGAAAAGAAGTGGTCATTTAAAATTTGTGTTTTTGCTCATTTATATTCAGTCTACTTTCAAAGGAAAAAAAGAATAAAGCAGAAGTCCAGAAGTGATAAATTGCTGAAGCAAGGTGCCATTACGTCACAGACATAAATATCCTGTTCTCTAGGACTTCAGATTTCATTTAAGGGAAAAATAATTTTTCTCTGCACAGAAGCTTCCAGACTCTTACAAATTCCTGTTTGAAAGAGGAGGGAGTTAATTCAGCAGCTGGTCCAGGGCTCTGTTCCCCTTCAGTAAGAAGGGTTTTTGTACACCCAGAGAATGGAGAACTATCACTGTGGTGGACTTTCGGCCAAGGGACCAAGCTGGAAATCAAAGGTGAGTCAAATCTAAACTTTCTTTCTTCTGTTGTGTGTGTCTTACAGTCTCTGTGTCTATGATACAGTCTACAAACTGACTTTTTAAAACTAAACCAACACCCTCCAAGGTAAAGCCCATAGGCAAACTTAAGAATAATTGTATGTTTTTTATGAAGAACAAGATTCAGTTATTGGGTGAGAATAGCCTTTCTAAGTGATAGCTTCAGAAGTGCACTGGGGAGCATAATAGTGTCTTCTGGACAGAGCCTTGCTCAAGTGTCAAAAAGGGAAGCTCAGTATTTGTACAAGAGGGATGCTTAGGGGAATCAATGTGTATATACTTTCGGTGCCGGGACCAAGCTGGAGATCAAAGGTAAGTCTTCTTTCAACTGTTTCTTCATTGTTTCTGTCTAATTGCTTTGCTATGTGTTCCTTTATGTGAGTTTTCAATAGTTGGATATCAGGGATATAACCAATTTCATTCCCAGGTTAGGTTCAGAGGAAGAAAAATTCTTCCACGGTATGCTTGCTAAATAGCTACTTTTTAAAAATGTCCAAATCACAATAACTTAACTGGGGAAGGGGGCTCGCTACCACACTCAGGAAAGGTTTTTGTAGAGGGGAACAGATAAGGGAAGTCACTGTGATTCACTTTCGGCCAAGGGACCAAGCTGGAAATCAAAGGTAAGTCTATTCTTGGTCAATTATTTGTGAAGCTTTTGTCCTGCGGTATCATTCGTGTCCACTTTTGCTGTTTCTATTAAAAGAACATAAGAGAAGAAAATCTTCCATTTTTGAGGAGACTAGGATTTGTAGGGGCAATGGGAAAGAAAGAGCTGGATTCTTCTCTGAATTAGTCAGTTTAGGATGATTAGCTTCAAAATGAGGTTTTTGTTAGGGAGGCAGTGTTAGGGTCATCACTGTGACTCACTTTCGGCCAAGGGACCAAGCTGGAAATCAAAGGTAAGTCTATTCGTGCTCAATTATTTGTGAAGTTTTTGTCCCGCTGTATCATTCATGTCAGCTTTTGCTGTTTCTATTAAATGAACATTTCTGGTAGCTCATAAGTAAAGAGCAGAAAATCTTCCATCTTTGAGGAGACTAGGATTTGTAGGGGCAATGGGAAAGAAAGAGCTAGATTCTTCTCTGAAGTAGTCAGTTTAGGATGATTCGCTTCAAAATGAGGTTTTTGTCAGGGAGGCAATGTTAGGGTCATCACTGTGAATCACTTTCGGCCAAGGGACCAAGCTGGAAATCAAAGGTAAGTGCACTTTTCTAACTTCTTTCTTCTAGATTGTAACATTTGGAGGTTTTCATGTTTGGGGTATGAGTTGAGGTAAATTCTAAAGTCAGATGAGGAAGGGACAAAAAATTAGCTTGTCTCTAAGAAAAGCAACTTTTTCTGTATCAATCAATCTGGTAAGGTAAGCAGCAAAAAAACAGGGGTTTTTTTGTTGAGGGAACAGAGACACATTTAGAGATTAAAAGTAAGTCATTTTTCTCTGTTGCCGTCTATTAGAAATTTCTGTTTATCAGTTGTGAGTTTTAGAAGTTTAAGTATGTTTGGGAGAAATTTGTAATTGAAAGCATTTCTCAGTTTAAGCGTATCTTCAAAAATGGATTTGAAGACACGAAGTCAAATAATTTGTAGGGAAAAAAAATCAGTGTAGACAAATAAGAAATCTTTGTGGAGTTCTGAAGACTAAAAGTAAATTCATTCTCATTGTGTATTGTCAAAATTTTTATTGAGATTTGCTCAGTATGTATAATAAGTAGAGAAATATAGTTCTTGGTCTCTGCTTTCTTTTTATGGGTATGTTTTCAAATCAATAGCATGCACTAAAAAGCTTTTAAAAAAAGAAACAAGGTAGAGAAGTATGCCTTTGCCATGTAGATGGGGTGGCTTAGTTGAGAATTAGCAACAATTGTCATCAGACAGTATAATATGAGTGAGTCCTGGTGTGGCGCTGTGGGTTAATGCCCTGGGCTGCAAATGTCGGTTTGAATGCAAGGTTAGCAATTCAAGCTTACCAGCCACTACTAGGAAACCCGATACAGGGTCACTGTGGGTCGGAACCAACTAGATGGCACCTAGTAACAACAATATATGAGTGATAGTGGTGGTGGTGGCTATGTGCCGTGGAGTCGGTTCCATCTCATAGCGACCCTGCATAGGGTTTCCGAGGCTGTAAATCTTTACGGGAACAGAAAGCCTCATCTTTCTCCCACAGAAGGGTTGGTAGTTGCAAACTGCTAACCTTGAGGTGTGCAGCCCCACTGGTAACCACTATGCTACTAAAACTCCTTAATATGAGTGATAAACGATCAAAATCAGACTAGAATGTTGATTAGATAAAGAGGTTCTGTGGAAATAAGATCTTGGCAAATTATCTCCTTTTTTTCTCACTCTAAATTGTACTTTAGATTAAACTTGAAATGATCTCTTATCTAAATGGTAGAAAGACTATTGTCACCAAAAGCCCAGTTTCCAAACAAAAGACAAAAAAAGTTTAAAATAAAGGAAAGTTGTTTTTTTTTATTGCATTTTTAAAATGTTGTTGGACTTATAAAAATATAGGAAAGATTCTAGAGATGTCTTTTTGTTTTCTCATTATTATTGGCCATGTTTTAATATTGCCAAGGAAACCAGTGCAGTCTGTAGACTTTTTGGTAGCCTTTCATCATGGCTGACTGATGTGGCCAAGCCAAAATGCTGGAGAGGCATGATCACGCTTGTGGTAGAATCCCCTGACTGCTAAAGACCACCACAACTGTTCACTAATATGATGAACTTAATCATGGTCTGCTTTCCTGATACACAGTGCTACAAATAATATCACTAACTAAAGTAGAATAGAATTACAGTAGGCATATAGGAAAAATAGGTAAAAGACTAATTTATTTAGAACTTTCTAAAAGAAAAATTCACATTCATTATCATATCCTTTTTAATCAAAATTTTCATGGTTGTTATTAGCTGACACTGAGTTGGCCCCCAACTATAAAAACCTAAAAGCTAAGTTTTTTCCATGATATATAATAATTTTAATAGCACCGCCAAATTACTTAAGTAATAGAAGCTGAATATATCTAACTCTTGCAGGGTAAAGTATACATCAGAAAAAAAATCAGATTTAATGCCAGCTATCTGATCACTCAGGGTTTGATTAATTAATATCCACGTCTGTCTCCCCCACCCACCCCACCCACCCCCCGGCTCACATTAAATACCAAGAAACTATAATAATTGACAGGGGGGGGGTTAATCTGTGACATGTTTTCAGTTTTCAAAAATTTAACTGCTTAGGTAGGATGATGATATTTTAGTTGCACAAAATATATAAATGTAATTACTAAAAACTTAACATAAATATGTTCTAATACTTTAATTCTATGATAGAAAATTTTTGACCTGGTTATTTAAATCTATAACCTCTAACATCATTTAACAATTTACCCAGCTGATTTCAAAAGCGATGTTTAAGAAGGATTAGACTCATCTGGAACAACTTGATAGGACTATTTTAAAGTTTTTTATACTCTATTAAAAACCAATATGATTTCTCAGGATAATTTCCATATTATATGTGCTCATTATTTAGTATTTTAATGCAGTGTGAATCATTTAAAGCTATCAAGGAATCACAGAGATAGGAATATCTTCATAGAATGGTTTTCTCACTTTTAATTTCTGTTGTTGTTGCTTTTATGTGCCATGGAGTCGGTTCCGACTCACAGTGACCCTGTACAGGGTTTCCAAGGCTGTAAATCTTTACAGGAGCAGAAAGCCTCATCTTTCTCCCACAGAACAGCTGGTAGTTTCGAACTGCTGACCTTGAGGTTAGCAACCCAATTAGTAATCACTATGCTACCAGAGATCCTTTTTTTTATTTCTAGAGATCACATTATTTTTCTGCCAAGGCTACTTTATAAATTCTCTGGAAATAATTTGTTATAAAGGTTAAAAAAGGGGCAAAAATATCAAGCATAGGAAGTTGACTATCTTATGTTGAACTGCTTATTGACAATGAGATTGGATTTATAATAACCTGTACACTTATCTGTTAACTCCTCATAGCAAAGGTATCTAGAGTTGATAGTTTAGCTTTAAATGAGAGCAAACTGATTGGGGCCGCCAGGGACTTGCTGTCCCACTGCTAGCTTCAATCCCCACAAAGGGGGATTTCCAGGGGGCCATCTGGCAGCTGCTCATGGTCAAAACTGAATCTAGCCAGTTCCTCCTAGGCAGGTGGCCAAAGATGACAGTTGACCCCAAGTCATCACACTACTCCTGGTCTGACTGAAAAACGATCCCCATGAGGTTGCATATTATCAGACATGTCTGTGTTTCACTTGAGGCCTCTATGAAGCGGGGAAGAGTTGCTAGCATGGTCACAGAACATCAAAGCAAGCAGAGGGGTAATGGAAAGGAAGTCAATTATCACTGGGCAGTCTAGGAAGAAGGGCCAAGAAATGAAAGGGGACAGAGGTTTCCCAGAGCAGCTGCCTCATCTTCCCTCATGTGGAAGGGCCGACATTTATTCTGACCTCAAAATTCTAAAGGTTCAGATGAAATGGCTTTGTTCTTGCCCAAGGTATTTGGCTTACTGCAGGAGGCAGACAATACCATTAAAAGAAAGCTGCAGTCAAAAAAAACACAAAGAAGCCTCAGAAAACAAAGTAATTGAGAACTTTTTTTAAGGGGTAGGGATAAGCTGAGGAAACACTCAAAACCATTGAGATTAGAACTCTGCATCCTGGCCTCATGGCTGCAGTTATCCGCAATAAGCATGCTGCTTTCTGTATGTCTGTCTCTAGTGTTCTGTGATTGTCTACAAACAAGACACTCAAATTGCTTAAACACCATCTGTTGTGCTTCCTTCCTCAGGGGCTGATACTAAACCAACAGTCTCCCTCTTTGCACCTTCTGAGCAACAGTTACAGACATCAAGTGTCTCTTTAGTGTGCTTGGTGAATCACTTCTACCCCAAAGACGCCAAGGTGACGTGGAAGATGGACGGTGTCACCCAAACGAGTGACATCCAGAACAGCTTCACGGAGCAGGATAGCAAAGACAGCACCTACAGTCTCAGTAGCATTCTGAATATACCGACATCCACCTACAACAGCCATAACACCTACTCCTGTGAGGTCAGCCATAAAACGCTGGCCTCCCCGCACATCGAGACCTTCAACAAGGATTCATGTTAGAGAAGGAGACCTGCTGAGGGACCATGTGTGGTCCTCAGTCCCAGCCTCCCCGTCCCTCTCCTTAGGCCTCTGGCCATTTCCCCACCAAACACCCATCCATATTTCAGTCATACAGTCAACCTCCCCCATCCTATCCGCCCTCCACTATTGTACAATTCTTTGACTTTCATCATAATAATATTTGTGGAAAAAGAAAAAGAATAAAAATGAAAATGCCTTGCACTTGTGGTTTCGCTCTCCTGATTTTGTGGGGTTTATATATTGTTTTTCAAATTACTCAGCTTCTCTTCTAAGGAACTACCTATTAGTTACTCTAAAATACACCACTAACAGAAGATCATCCTCCATTTGGCCCTGTCACCCTCTATGAGACACTTTTCCCTGAAACCCAGTAACCCCTGGCCTTCACAGCCTGCCTCTCCTGTACTCCAGTATGAAAGTCTTGCTTCCCTCCTTCCCCATCTCCAGAAAGCCTCATAGTCTTTCCAAGGTGACAGTTCCTACAGTCACAATCCTTTGAGTCCCTCAACCTATCCTGATCATTTACCCAAAGTTAAGTTTTCAAAAGGAGAAAGCAGCTATAATGAGAGTCCTTCATTGCAAAATTATATTAAATAAATATCATCTAAAATAAGCAACCTAAATGAACATGAATGAAAATGATTATACCCATTCTAGCATGTCACTCATGGAATATTATGGCCTCATTACATGTTAAAACATGTATTCAGGACTTCCTGTCTGCCAAGGACCAGACAGAATACTTCACATAACCTAGACCAATCCTCACTACACTGTGAGGTTAAAATTGTCCATCAAAATCTTGGACAGGTTTCATAAAGCTGAGATGTTCACATTCAAGATGACTTAAGTGTACCTGACACCAAAAAACATGTGAGACTATTCTAAGCAGCTTCATTTATAAAAGACCAAACACTAAATAACTCAAATGTTTACCAATATGTAATGGGTAATTAAATTGTGATGTCTTTATAAACAAGAATATTACTCAGTAAAGATAATTAAACTATGAACATATCCAGCAATATCGATGAATCTGATCATAAACATGATGTCAAGCAAAAGAAACAGAGTTCACAAGGTACATTTTGCATGCTTTCATCCATATGAAGCTCAAAACCAGATCTAACCAAAATAAGGCTTAAGAAATTGGGATGAGACTTAACTCTTGGCTGGAGGTATGGTGGAGTAATACTTGTGAGGGAATTAGAAGAGGCTTCTAGAGTTCTGGTAATGTTCTAGTTCTCAACTTGGGCTATGCTACTTTGTAAACATTTATTGAACTGTACAATTAATTGTGTCCTTTTATATATGTATATTATAGTTTTAAAAAGTTCATATAAAGAAATGTCCTATACATGTTTGCAGATAAGAAAGGGTAAAAATAATAAACAATAGGCCAAAGACACAAAATTAGTGAGGAGCCCAATACCAAATCCTTATCTGCCAAACAGTTTCCAAGGAATGGCTGGTGAGCTTGCACCGCCAACCTTGCTGTTCAAACTGGCCTTGCAGTCTAGTGCATTAACCCACACGACTCCATATGAATGTGAGCTTGGTTCAAGCTAACCAGCAAATCCTCAGAAACCCTATACAGGGTTGTTATAAGTCGGAATAGACTCTACGGCACTTAACAACAACAACAACATAGGAACTGTATCTAAGGCAAGGAACTCCTCTGTCACAATCCTCACACACATACTATGTGAGATCCTTGGCTTGCAGTACTTCCCCAGAGTTTTCTCTCCGGGTCTAACAGCTACATTGGTTTTTTGGTTTTGGTTTTGGCTTTAGTTTTTTCCTTTTGCTGTTTCATTGTTTTTGTTCATTTATTCTTTCTCCTCCAACTTCTTCACTATCCATTCCCTTGAATTTTATCCTTTCTATCTCTACTTTTGTTTTTCCTTCTTTTCTTCTAGCTCACATTTCCTGTCTTCCTCTTCCCCACCACCTTTTCATCTTGCTTTACTAGTTTCCACTCCTTCTTTTTTCATCTTCCTTCTCCCAAACTTTTCTAAATGCTCATTTTATTTTTACTTCTTCCTTTTATTTTCTCTATTATAGTTTCATTTTCCTGTCCCTCTTTTTTCTTTTTAGTTATTATGTTCTTTTTTTCTTTTGATTCCTGCCTGTCATTAATTCTTTTTTTCTCCTTTATTATTTTCTTTTTTCATTGTTGGTTGCTTGCTTATTTACTATGTTTTGGTTCCTGGTATGTGTGAAGCAGGTGGGGGTGGGGAGTGAGGGGAGTTTCTCCTCTCTCCTACACAACAGGAGACAGCAACCATGTCCATACAGCCCAGCCACAATCACACCTTCTCCAGCTCCAAGCACTGGGCAAGAGTCAATACCAGCTCCTATGCAACCTGGTCAGTGATAGACAGAAGCCAACACCCACAAAACCCACCCTAAACTGAGGTGTACATATGGCAAACAGACAACGATATACACGTTTCCATTCTCTAACTACACCCACAGGAGACAGGTGGAAAGAGCCTGCGAACACATCAATATACAATCATCAATTAAATACAGATAACAGATCCTTTTAGCTTTTACTTCCTGATCTCTACTATAGAGACACAGTAGTCAAAACAGGCTGGTACTGCTACAACTAAAGAAACATAGATCAATGGAATGGAACTGAGAGCCCAGAAGTAAATCTATCCCCTAAAGTCAAGTTTATCATCTATAAAGGGCCAAAAGTGCATTAAATGGGGAAGAGGTAGTCTCTTCAACAAATGGTGCTGACAAAATTGGGAGTCCATCTACAGAAAAATGAAACAAGACCCACATGTCACACTATATACAAAAACTAACTCACCTGGGATTAAAGACCTAAATGTAAAACCTAGAACTATACAATGAAAAACTTAGGAGCTCTGATAAATGGCACAACATAACTGAAAACACACCAACAAAAAAACAAAATAGATTACTTGGACCTCCTAAAAATTAGACACTTATGTGCATCAAAGGGTTGCACCAAAAGAGTTAAAAGAGATCCCATAGACTGGAGAAAGTGTTTATATCGACATATCAGACAAAGGACTACTCTCCAAAATTTATAGAATACTTCAACAGCTCAACAACAAGACAAATAATCCAATTTAACAAATGGGCAGAGGATATGAACAGACACTTCATCAAAGAAGACATTCAATCAGCCAACAAACAGATGAAATGTTCATGACCATTATCCATCAGAGATGCAAATCAAAGCAACAAAGGGATAGCATCTTATTCTGCCATTAATAACAAACTTAAAAAAAAAAAAAAACAGAAAATAACATTGCTGTCAAAGGTGTAGAGAGACTGGGACGCTGCTACACTGCTGGTGGGATTGTAAAATGGTGCAACCACTGTGGAAAATGGTATGGCATTTTCTCAGACAGTTGAAAATAGAACTACCATATGACCCAACAATCTCTCTACTTGGTATACAGCCTAAAGAAATAAGAACTGTGACAAGACTAGATACACGCACACCCATGTTCATCACAGCACTATACATAATAGCAAAAAGATGGAGACAGCCTAAATGCCCATCAACAAACTTTGGTACATACACACAAAGGAATGTTATGCGACGTTGAAGAATAATAACGAATCTGCAAAGCACCTCACAAAATGGATGAATCTGGAGGACGTTATACTGACTAAAATTAGTCAGGAAAAATGGTCAATTTACAAAAGGAAACCACTGTAGTAAAAAGTCAAGAAATGATTCTATTGCTAAATTAAGCAATCTAGGATGGTAACAGGGAGTGGGGAGAAGGGAAAAAAGTGAATAGAGGTAAATACTGTCAACTAATGGTACATGGAGTGGATTGCAATCATTGTAATGACACAAAGTGTATGATTTGTTGAATGTGGGACTTATGCTCTGTTCTGTAAACCTTCACTCAATTCATAATAAAAAGTTTAAATTAATAATTTTTTTAAAAATTGGTGATTCATGTTTAGCGTATACAGGAAATTTTTATGAGCTTAAATATTTCATTAACCAGAATACCTTATTTCATAGTAATTATTAATACAACAGAATTTCTGTAAGTGTCAAAAAAAGATGGAGGAGAACTTCCAGCACTTCCCTGACAGGGCAGCACAGGTACGTGGGCTCAGGAGAAAGTAGGGGGCAGTATCACAAATTGGGGCCCCTGCCTGGTAGACAGACAGCTTTTGGGCAAACATAAAACATTAGGCTGCAACTTTATGAACTTGTTTTTTTTGAAGGATCAAACTACTGAGGAATTACGAGCATTTTGAACTTCCACCCGCCTGCTCCGGGCTCCTACCCGGGGACGGCCCCGCCCACTGCAGAACTTAGCAGGGCTTCAGCAGACCCATTCAAAGGGCGGATGCTCTCAGAGAACTAGCGGGGCCACAGGAACCAACATAGTCCATCCCAGGGGGTTCCTCATTGCCACATTAGGCATTACTGGCGTGTATATAGGACAAAGTGGGGGGCTCAAGGCACAGGGAGACAAAGAGAGGCATTTTAGATGTCATCAAAAACAGACCCCATCTGCCTACAAGCACCAAGCCCATCCCCCACTTCTTCGGCCAAGGCCAGCCCTCAGTCCAGCCTCCTAGCCTTAGACCCACCCATCAAAGCATCAAGGTTTAGGCCAGCCCAAGCTGAGTAGCAACTTAACACCAGTAACAAACCACCCCTGCTGCGGTTTAATCTGCCAGACTGCAAAACCTTTTGAATTGCAGGAACTGTGGTTCTAGCTCAACAGCTGCTATTGGAAACCCTATACTGGGTAGCTGTGGGTCATAATCCACCCCACAGCATTTCAACAAGTAGCAAAACTCAGAAGGGCCTGAAACAGAGTAAGGACATTACAGACTTACTGAAGAAGCAGGGAGGGCAGGGCTTGCTGGCGGCTAAGGTGAAGGCATAGTGAAGGTCGCCGTCAAAAATAACTCAGAATTCCAGGCAAAAAAGAGGCAAGACAGAGCTCCAAAATTCG